ACCACTTGCTTTCTGCAGTTGCTGGGTCACTGTTTACGTTCCCTGTGACATCATTGCTCATTAAATTGCAGGATGTATTGCTGCTCTTTGTTCTAGTCTACCTCAGTTTTAAAATAGAAATTAATGTGATCACACTGAATCATAGAATGGTTCAGGTTGGAAGGGACCTCTAGAGATAATCTAYTCCCACTCCCCTGCTCAAGCATATATTTTAGTTACTTATATTTTATATGAAGAGTAGCATGTAGTATTCTAGTAATATTCTAAGAGAATTTAGTGCTCTACTCTCAGTGAAAGTATACTGAAGTATGTTTTAAGTTAAGAAAGCAATGTACTTGAAACATAACAAACAAGAGTTACTTTTTGGATAGTGTTGAATAGGTCTGTGGACTGAATGCAATAGTGGGAAAAACCAAATGTGGCAGCAGCTTTGTATGAATTAGAAGATCATACTCTTCCTACATACAGTTTGGTGAGGAAACTGTGTGATGGATGGATGATTTGGCTTGTTTAGGCATTGCAATTTTGTTCTGCTGCAAGGGTAGAGCCAAAATTGATTGAGTGCCTCTCAAGGACAGCATTTCTGTTTAATTACTTCAGGTGTTTATGAAGTAGGATAGTGCCTGTAGTGTCTATGTAGCCTAAGCCTGTATTTTCCATAATTTGATTTTTTTTACACTTTTTATTCAGTGATTCATCTTTTCTTGAATGGTACTTACCGATCTGACATGTACATTAACAGTGATTTGTCTGGAATAGTATAGGTTTCCATTTATAAGTGAAAATGATTTCATAGTACTTATATAGAAAGCTTTTTGAAGTACAGGAAGATTGCGAATGTAGAAAAAATGTATTAGAAATTCAGAAGTGTGTTATGATAAATATTGTACGTGTGGGTGAGGTTAAAGGCTGTAATGTAGGTTTGTGCATTCAGATTTATTTACTGCACAGAAATGAATCTCAAACAGCAATTTTTGCTTCACTGATGGTAATCCCAACGATTCAGGCTTACAGACATCTGCTAAAGGTTTTTGTTATTATTTGGTTAAGATTTTGAAATGAAAGTGAGAAAAATCCAACTGTCACCTAGGAATGACCTCAAGGGGTTTTCACAGATTCGTCCAACATGTTTTTCAGACTTTTCTACAGGCTTTAGATGTGTTACTGTTTCTAAAGTGCTTCAGATTGTGCTACTTGTATTTTCTTATTAAAAAAAGAAAAAATATATATATGTGATATGCTGTGGTGTGATTATATATATGTGATATGCTGTTTAAACTTTACTCAATCAGCTTTTAATATACAAAGGATAAAGACTAAGAGCGAACAAAAAAGCCCCAAGTTTTTCATAAATACGTATTGAAAGATATATTGGTTAATCCACTGTTAAGTCTGCAAATAATTCTTTATGTTAAATAGCTTTTCATATTCATAGCCATTGGACTCACTCTTAGCATATTAATAATAGTGTATTTGAGATATTGGGATATACTAGAAAAAATTATTTCCCATTGGGGTTTTTATCTAAACAAAAGATCTTCATAGTCTTCTCTGTTTAACCAGCATAGTGTTGTGGTGTACCCAAGAATATCTGTACCTTCCTGCTTCTCAGTTAGGAGAAGAAGRAAAGAGTGTACAGAGCAGAGAGCATTTCCAATGGCGTCACTGTGGCACCACACAGTTATTCTGTGTTAATAACAGGTTGCAGAAACATTTAAGTTAGATTTCTGTTCTTTTTCATTTAAATAAATGCATACTGATAAATTTCTAATGAAAAGAAATCAGAGCAAGTGAGTTATTATGGAAATTTTCTGTGATGCACTGTAATGTAGCATTTTCAGTTTTTAAAAGTTGTTACATTCCTAATTGGCAAAGGAAAAGGACCAATTTATCCCTTGCTGTGAGAAACATTTTTCTTATAGATTATTCTCATGAAGCCTCTATTTCAGGCAAATATATTGTGTAAGTGGAACCTATGGAATACTTTCTAAAATGTATACCAGATTTACATTACTAAATTGTTAGTTAGATTGAGCAATGGCCGCTGGTACAACATATATAAGAAAAAATGACTTTTACAGTGTTCATTTCTTTCTAAATTAAATTCTGCTTGGTTCAAGCGAGGTTTCTGTTAATATTGCTCGAGATTATCCTAAATGTACTACCTCTACCCAGGCATTACAAGCACGATCTCTACACTATCACAGTCTTAAGTGATCTCGGGAGCATAACTTTTGTAGACCTTTTAAACCAGAAGAAGCATTTTCTTTTCATATAAAATCTGTAAATGTTGGAATATAGTGACTATTCTAATGCCAAATAATTTGGATAAATCTGCATTGCATGCAGACTGAGTTTCTCACAGAGATACTTCAGCTTGGAAAATTAAYAGACATTGTATTATCTGCGAGAGCAAAGCTTGTGTGTTTTGTAGTGTGATCAGAACCCAAATATTTATGTAGCTGATATGCATTTCGTGCAATTAGTGTTAAAATAATTAGTGCGATTAGTGTTAAAATAACTTTTTTATAATAATATTTTTTCAGTAAGTCACAATTTGCATGTGTACATGTATAGCTATGCTATTTCTGGAGAATATATTTTGATTTCAAACACTTGTAATGTATTAAGAAGAAAGATTGAAATCTCACGTAATTTCCGTTGGTAACTGACAGCCATTGATTTGTATAATTTGATGCAGTTAGTCTTGGTTTCATAAGTGGCAGTGTTAATGACACCATTTTCATTTCTGGTCAAGATTTTTTTTTTTTTTTTTTTGAGATACTTAGCTTTTGATGGCTTTCTCTTGTGAATCTCTCCTCACACAGAAGAAGTATCTTTGCTTTTAAACTGAGGACAGAAAGGTGCACATTTATATCTGGGGAACTTTCTCCCTAAACTTAAATAATATAGAGTGGAGCAATAAAAATGAATAATTAACCCYAAAAGAGAAAGATCATTTAAAACCATAAGCAAATCTATTTCTATCTACATTCCAGAAAGAAATCACGGGGGTCTTGGGGATTTTTTTCTTAAGATGATGCTTAACTGGTGAACCACAGGGACTTTACACAGTTGGGATAACTGTTCTTCCAGCTCTTTGTAATGATTTTGGGATCATCCAGGGCTAAAATGGTGCAGTTCACATTCTCATTATACCTTACAGCTGTCTTTTTAAAATTATTATTTGTTATATTCAGAGCAGGAAATGGGCAACTAGTAAGGATTAGTAATGGGGAGGTTTTATTTAATTCAGTTTTTAAGCTGCTTTATTCAACAAAATCCTTATAACACAGATTATATTTTTACAGATAGCTATACACTGCCATAGATTCTATAGTATTTGTGACTCTGAAGCATATTTTCGTGGAGAAGTAAGTTCTTATATACCAGTTCTTACATACCGTATCTGAAATTATTATTGATTACATTTTGCAATTATATTCCCACATTGAAGGCTTGGTGTTTCAGTGGGTTTTCAAAGCATCATCTGGGAGGAATTATAGAAGCTTTAGCACTATTGCTTACTCTTAGGATTTTAACACAAGTCCTGTTGTATTTGATGATATATTTTAATACCTGTCTCCTGGAGTATGGTACATATGTGAGAAATCCTGGATTCATTTTTAAGTAATTCTCTGTTATTCTAGTTGCTGAGAAAAAAAGAAAAAAAAAAATAGTAATTAACCCGTGTTTACCCTTGTTTGCCCACAGGCAAATAAAAGGAATAAAAAAAACTTCAGCAGTTAGATCTGGATCTCACTGTTATTTCAGCCTAATTCATTTCTTTTTCTGTCTTGCMTTTTTTGTTTGGTTCCTGGCATGGATAACACTCCTGAAGGAGCAGTGATAAGCCAGCAGTATTGCATAACACAGAGCATATAACGCTGTTAAAGAGGGCATAGTCATTACTTTGGAATTGACAATTAAGGTCTGTCTGTCAAAGGTTTGTATGTTAGGAAAGCCGATGAGTTTCTCACTTAGCTTCTGCGATGGAGACCCATGTGATGTTTACTTTGTGGCTTGTTTTGTTTCCCACCTCCACTGTTTTGGTTGTGAACAGGATTTTGGAAGCCAGTGCTCCTGCTGGCTGTGGTGGAGGAGGTGTGGATGTAGGCCTGCTCGCGAGTTTGTCGCAGCTTGTTGTGAGTGTTCCCCTTCCGGATCTGCAAAAAGGGTATCCTTTTGAGACTGGGATAGCGACACGCAGGTGTCTCCATGTAGGTGTCCGCTTCTGTGGTTGCCATCTTAGCTCCTGCTAAATCTCAGTGGAGATTTAGTCCATGCAGGCTATGGAGCTCAGAGGCTGATTTAGCCCACCCTAATGCTGATAGCTAGAGATACGTTGATCAGCTCAAGTTTCCTTGGATGTTTTGACTATACTGGGAATTTCTCACATAACATGCCCAGAAATGCTTGTATGTAACACTGACATTTAGATGTTTAGATGTCTTACTCCGAAACTGAATCTCACACCTCTGTGTAAAAGCTGGATTGTTTTGCACGTYTTTATGAAGAGAAAACCCCCTCTGTAGACGTCCAGATTTGAAAGTTTGGAGGAACTGAATGGTCCTCACAAAGTCCGGTTTTGCTTTCCTACTGGTCACATTTATATTTGAGTCAACCTCGCACCATTTTCAGTTTTATCATACATAATGTTTCCTCACCTTCTATGGAGGCTTTCTGTTCCTAAAGTGTTTTTCTTGTAAAATACTATTTATTTCCTCTTCGCTTTGATTTTTTACCTCTCTTCAAGTTTCCAGTAAACTTATCTCCTGTACCTTGTCACTGATTCAGGTTAGGAACCACCTCTTTCTAAAAACTMTGATATATGCCAGGCTAACTTCATTTTAATACATGCCATGATAATATTGTATACTACTAGTGAAAAACTACTGTAATATTACAAACAGAAATACCACTCACAGTGGAGTTTGAGCCACGTTGCTGCATACAAGAGAGCATTTATTCATAATTTTTCACCATCTTGTTTTTAACAGGAGTCCCGTGCTGGTGTTCCAGTGCATGCATCGCCATGTTATTTGCCTTGACTGTTTCCATTTGTACTGCGTGACTATGCTGAACGACCGGCAGTTCACCCACGATCCTGAGCTTGGTTATTCCCTCCCTTGTGTAGGTAGGTTTAAGAAGGTTTTCTTTCCTAGAAAAATATATGATTTTGACTTCAGAGGAAGCCTYTTTTTATCACCTATTAATTTTGAGTGTATCTGTGGAATTATAAGATGTTTTCATAGAAGYTTTTTCATTTCCTAGATTTCAATATTGAAGTGGTTTGTTTTGCTGAGCATGTGAACTGCRGTATTACCTGGGTTGTTAAGGGCATTTCCTTTATAAGCAAATGCGTATTTTTCACATTAGTATTTTATCATCATAAAGTGCTAACAGATGATATTATTACACTTCTGTTAAAAAAAAAAAAAAGTTCTTTCATGACCTCCACATCTCCACTTTAGAGTCAAATAAGTTGTTAACTTTCTTGGCCCGTCTTCAAGTCCTAAAAAAGAAGGAATATGATAGGAATTTCAAAGAGCCTTTCTGTTGATGAAGTTATTACYGCAACTTGTCACTGAGTTGAATGAAATGTAGATCACCCTGAGAGGATGGTAGGYTGTTTTTTTACCTGAATAGGAAATGAAGCTTGAGGTAAGTARAAATTGCTGCAAAGCAGCACATTAGAATTTTTTGTTGTTGTTGTTGCTAAATCTGTGCCTGTGTATATATACTTGTTTGTGCCAAGTCCTGTGTAGCARTACGTCCTCTACCACTAGAACATATGTAGAATATGGACTTGCCTTATTTGCCTTCATAGCTCACAAATGTCTCATGTAAATAGTTGGGAGAAAAGATATTAATGTTTCTTAGGAGAGTGACATTTACTTAAAATTAGTACATACCTTAAGCATGACAAAAGCATAATAATAAGAAAAATTCATATTATTTACTTTTACCTGCTTCAGCAGCCACCTGGCAATGGTCTTTGATTCACATTTCATAGGAATCTCTGTTTGTGTGCTGTTCCCTTACTGGGTCTAATTTTACTCACTGCCTCCATCAGCTTTTTTCCTATTGCATTTGTACATGATGTCATACTACGCAAAACACTATTTTATGCTGAATAAGAAGACCTGTCATCAGAAATCTACCAGGTGCTGTATACCAATGCTCTTTCTTGACCATTACTGTAGCGATGTGTGGTCAATCTGTACGGTCTACCTCCCTGCCTGCTTTTCCAGAAGCTAATCCATTTTCTGCTCCCAGACAAATTAATCGACTGTCTCTTTGTGCCACTCGAGATGAATCCATTCTTTTCTCTTTTTTTTTTTCATTCAATTCATCAGTTCTCTCTTCTCCCTTTAGCTCCTCAGCTTAATCAGTTATCCCAGCAGTACAGCAGGCGCCTCACCCTTCTCCTCCCCTGTGGGCCTCCTCGCACCCACGGCTGGTGTCACAGCACTTCCTCTAGTTCAGACCTGCTGTTCAAAACTAATGACCCTTCTGCCTCTTCCATCTGTAAACGTATTGTTAGTCACACTGAACAAAAATTAGACTGGGAATTTTCAATATATCTTGCCACTCCGATTCTTCAGTTAAAAAGCTTTGTGCATCCTTTTTCTTACACAGAAGACTAGCAAATATGCAGGGATTCTTACCCCTRTTGCCAGTCTTTTTCTCTCTTTTGTATTTGAAGTTGAGCACTATGGGAATTTAGCAGTAGAAACAGAGTTGGGATGGGATGGAAGGGAAGATGCAGGGAAACRGGGTTGAAATGCTCAGAGATACAATTCCAGACTTCCACAGGCTTGACCTAAGAAAAGGAAACTGTAAGGGATGCACAAAGTATTGTACTTCCACTATTCGAGTAGACAGAGTTCAGCTGTGACACTGTAAAAGCAGCTGTTGCTTCCACTCTAGTCTCAGCTATGCTATTTCCTACTTTATATGTTAAAATAGCTAGAAATAATAAACACAGAAACTCTGAGATATTGCTAGTTTTAAAACTCCCCAAATGAAAAACTACTTTCAAAATAGTGTAAAATATAACAATAATAATGTGATTGTAATATATTTGCTCTCTGGTCTACCTTAGTAAGTATGTTTCCCTGAAAAATTCCTGCTGAGGCTGTTACCCTGTGCTACTAGAGTGTGTGATTCCAAAACCCCTCCGTGCAGTGCAGAGATTCTAGTGCTAGAGATGGATGAGCTGATGCTGAGGAGAGAGGAGCTCAGTTATGTCAGTGCAGCATGTTGGCCAGGCTCTTTGACACGTCTAATAAGCCAGGAGGACTGAGCAGGCACATGCCACGTCAGGACCTATGCTCCTATCCCTGTRGTGTTGCCTGTGCCCAGCTGCTTGCTCAGCACCCATCTGATGCTTTCTAAGAAGAGGTGACATCGCTGACGTGCTTCATGCTGCAGAGGGGCTCAGGAACAGTCTCTGAGCAGGTAGCAATTTTAAATAATATTCTGTCCAAACGTAAAATTGATTGCTACCTCCATCAGTTTTCCGTGTTGTGTTACCAGTTCYGCATCAATAAAACCATTTCTTAGCTTTATCCTTCAGAATACACTGCAGGCTGAGAGGTCTGAGCACTGTTGTTAGGACTTAGTGCTTCATTTCTGCAGTTACCTGAACCTGACTTTCTGTTAGGCAAGAAATTTGGATGCTTCTAAAATTAGGTTTTAGTCCAGTTGAGAGCTGATGAGTAAATTATTTTTGCCCTTTGAGAAAGTCATGAAGCTGAATCACAGCACACCTGTGGATAAAAGAGGAAAGCCTGAGTTGTCAACCCCTTCCCTCCTGATGTTCAACTCTAAAGGATTTAGCCTCCTTCATAACTGTGGTTCCAGCAGCAGCTTTCATCAACAACCAATTCAATTAAGAAACATTCAGAATAGTATCATATGATTTCCTTTTCTACTCGTTGTAGCACTCCTACTGAATAGTATAAAATTACATTTTTGCAAACTGCAGTTTGCAATCTGCATTTTTGCAACTGTAATTTACAGTTGGTATTTACGTCTGAAGAAGATACAGCAGTTTGACAACTGTGTTCTCTAATTACCTCAGAAGCCTAAGATTATTTCCTCTTGACAGGAAGGAATACCATGGGACATGCCAGAAATTACTTTTTGTCTTACTGTAGCAATGTTGGCCTAATGCTTGTTATTTCTAACAAAATTTGACATGAAGCAAAAAAAAAAAATAGTTTTGAGCTTTATTGAAAGATAAGATTTTGATCTGAGTCTGTTTCTAAAAGGAATATGAAACAGGATCATATTTACTGTTAGGAGGTTTATTTTGTGGTGAGTGACTAGGTGCCACAGATGGTGAAAACCACAGTCTGTATTAATGCACATGTTTTTAGATGTCACAAAACAATACTGAACTCGTACTTATTGTGTTATGAACAGAAGATATTCATGTTGTGGGTCCTTTGAAAAAAAACGATTTCATTTTTGCATTTCCTAATAAGAATGGCTTTACTTAAAATCAACTTCATTTTCTCTAAGGCATATGTGCACACATTGCCGTAGAACTATATGGAAGGGTTTGGTCTTGTAATTAAGCCTATTTAAATTGTTTGCACTTCCAATTAGTTATGTTCATCCTAGTGTTTTTGAAAAATAGAGATAAAATAATGAACACAGCCTGCAGTTTCCATTGACATTTGACTCCTTGTTCCCAGTTTTTATCAAGGGAATATACTGGCATAGCAGGATTTTTATATCWTTTATTGGATCAATCTAGAGGTGAAAACACCACACATACAAGAGAATAAAAATAAACAGCAGCTGCTACAGCAAAGGGTCACTGTGACAGACAAGATCAGTGTTATCACACGTGTATGGTAACTTGAGCTGAAAAGGATCTAGGGATTTCAGATAAATAGTKTTTCTCAAATATGTTTAATATCTTACCTCCTTGTCTGATACCTGCCAGAAGGTTGATTTTTGTCATTGCATTCAATATTTTTTTTTGTGCTTATATTGTTTCTTTTATTTGATTTCTTTTATTCAAGATAATTAAGCAGAGTATGTGTTTGGAAAAAAAGGGCTCTCTCAGCTGATGATGTATGATATATCACCTTGAAAATGACATAGCTTCGCTTTGTTCCAACACAAAATGTGTCATTGCTGTGATTTCTGGAAGAACAAAATTAATTCCTTAATGCCTAGCTGCTAATCTAGTGCCAGGCAGCACTGTTCCAGCTGAGAACAGCCAGCGCTGAGGACTGCAGCTCTGGGCATGGGAACTCTGGTATGTTGATAGGATTAGCTTTTCAGAATAATGTGGCAGCCCCATGATTCAAACCCACTCTCTCAGCTCACAGAAAAGACTTAGAGATAGAAGCTGGTTATCTGTTATTGGTCATTAAAATAAAAAAGTTAACATTACAGATTATACTCTCCCTGCCCTTGTTAAATGGCAACAACAAATCTATCCCATTTCTCTGTATGGTGTCTTGTATTAATGAGGCTTCACGCATAGAAATTTCCATGAGTGGTGACCTCCAAGTATCTTTGAAATAATTAATAAGGTGCTTAGAGGGACAGATTTGCATATGCATGAAAGATCATTTATGGTTATTTAGTTACTGTGCAGGGCACAAGAATCTCACAGCATTACCTCAAAGCAGGAGTTGTATACAAATATGCAGTGCATTACCCCACTTAAACACATACTGTTCTTATGATCACCATTTCATTTTTGAAATAGCATTGCAGCACAGTAAGACTTGGTCCCCAGAGTGAAATAAACTTCCGCAGATCTTTGGCAGAGGAAAAGTTGGTGAGGCCAAGGAAATGCAAGGTGTTACACTGCTGTAGGCATTTTGCAAAAATGTGTAAGCATCACTTTATTTCATGAGACTAATCGTATGTGTGATGTGTATTTAAAAAATCTGGATAAAGGGTGTGGTTCTCCTGGTGACTGTAAAACATTGTTGTATCTGGATGTAATCCAGTCTTACACACATAAGCAGTTTGTATACAGAATTGCTAATAAAAATGAATCAAATTTTTAACCGTAATAAATTTCTTTAAGCACCATGTTCCATTGAAAGAGCTGCTGGGGAATGATTAAGAGGGAATGTTCTGAGATTAGATTYGTTTTAT